GCCTTGGAGCCGCCGGGCCTGCAGGTGTGTGTGTGGGGGGGGCAGCTCCCGGGGACACCCTGCGCTTCATGGGGGGACCAACGTCCCCCCCCCGGCTTCCTGAGGGCTGGAATTGCTCCGGTGGGAGCCTCGGGGCACCCTCGGGTCCCTGGAGGCCTCTGTCGTTCACTCTCGGCCTCTTCTGTTGTGTGTTTTCTTTTTAGGGCTCGGGAATGGATTTCCTGACGCTTTTCCTGGTTTATCTGTGTTCGGTGCTCGCTGCTGCCGCCCTGCTCTGCGTCTGCTCCGGGAGGAGGAGGGGAGGAGGTTTCCTCAGCCAGGTAAAACAGGAGCCTCTTTCTGCTTCCTTGTGCTGGGATTCGGGTGTTTATCCAACAGAAAAAAACCTGCCGGGTTGTGTGGTTTGAGCCGTGGTGTGGTTCATATGTCACTCTTTATTTTTACAACTGCCCGTTGGGATTGAAGATATCATAGAATCCCAGACTGGTTTGGGTTGGAAGGGTCCCCAAAAATAATCCAACCCCCCTGCATGGGCAGGGACACCTCCCACCAGCCCAGGCTGCTCCAAGCCCCATCCAACCTGCCCTTCAACACTGCCAGGGATGAGGCAGCCACAGCTTCACTGGGCAACCTGGGTCTCACCAAATGGAAATACTTTGGGCTGGTGAAATCCTTCCCAAGCATGGAGTGAAAAAAAACCCTCTTCCACCTCCTGCAGGGTAGGAGTAAGGATGGAGCTTCTTGTGATACTAAAAGGACATTTTTCAGTGACACTGTAACACATCAGCTTTGAGAAATTAAATACAATGAGTTATTTAAGTATTTGCAGTTTTGTGGTATTTGCTGTCCTTACTAAGATAAAAAAGGAGGGGGGAGGTTTTAGAGGTAAAATAGGGAGAGAATTATAAGTGGTAGCAAATATTGTAGGGGAAGCTCTTTAGTGTGAGTATGGAATGATGCTGCAGCCTGTTGTTTCCTTAGAGGGAGGAATGAAGAGCTTTAAAAGAGGATTAAGAATTGGCATTTTATTGTAAAAGCAGGGAATGAATTGTTTCATTATGTGTTTCCTTTAGCAGCACACAGCCTCTTTTAAAAAAGACTTGTCACTTGAGCTGCTGATATGAGGCATAACAGTTAAAAGAAAAATATTTAACATCTTCTCAACTGTACATATGCTTTTTGCCTTCTGGTCTTTTACATCTGAGAGGAGAAGCTCTCACTGCATATTTTCTTTCCCTGTCAACTAGAAATAGGCTCAGCTGCTCTAATTCCTCCACCAAGGATGGAGCAGCATGTTGCTATAGAGATCTCTCACCTTCTGAGCAGCAGAGTCAAACAATTCCTACTGCTGAGAACTTTGCTTAATGAAGACAGGCAGTTTTCTTCTTTGTTGTCTCTAGCTGTTTTTGAAATGGCAGTTGGATAGACATGGAATTACCAGGTCACAGCTGTAGTTGAAGAAACTGGGGGCAGGGGGATGTTTGCTGGGCATTGTTTATTGGTTTGGGTTATTGGGTTTTTTCCCTTCTTCTGGAGGATAGCAGGCTTTATCCCTTTGCTCATCTCCACTTGCATCTGTCAGATGTCCTGGTGAAGCATATTGTAGTTGAGAAATTGCTCAGTTCTATCCCCTGCTTAACCAGTTACCCAGTCTATAACCCAGTGTAAGCTCCTTAGAACTTTCACACATTAACCCAGATACATTTGTTCATGCCTTCTGGGCTTCTGAGAATGTGGAGCCTCTGTCCCACGTTGCAAACCCCAGCCTCTATTCTCAGTGTCCCTGAAAATGAGCTTCCTCCCCAGTCATATGGCTGCAGTGACAGAGAACTGAGGGATTAGGTGACTTTTGTTTTTGTTTGAATGTTCCACAGGCAGAGCAACGTGCAGTTCAGGTAACACAGTCTTTTCATTTGCTTCAGGTGTTGTCATTTGTAATCCCCACGCAGCTCCAGAGCGTGACACAGCGGGCACTTCACAGGCTCTTCCACACAAGGTATTGCACTTCTTATTTACAATTCTGACATTATTTTTCACTAGTATTTCTGGCCACTCTTGGTGACCTGCCACCATCAGAGCTCTCAGTGTTATCCTTAGATACTCCCTCTTCACTGGAGGTGCTTGTCATGGATTACAGGTTCCCTTTAAAGTTTGCCACACTGTTATCTGTCTGTGCCTTGCTTATCGTTGAGAAGATGGTGCCCTGAAATGTTGGAACATATTGACAAATAAAGATAATGTGGTTCAGGAGTTTCCAGTGTAACAGATGTTGGTCGCACTGGTGGGAGGCAGCACCCATGAGAGAATTACAACAGACTCTCTAGCAGCTGCAGAATGAGTTTAGACAGAGCCAGCCATCCCTGTCCTCTCCTTCAAATCCCATTAGTCTTAGTCCAGCAGCTGGGATGTCCAGGTGGCTCAGGGGGAAGCTGCACAGCTGCCAACGTGCAGCCTGCTGTATTAGGTGAATTTTGTAGCTTACAGGAAAGGTTGGTGCTTTAGGATCTGCTTCAGGAACTATTGAAACACCTTTTCTCTGCAGGCAGCAACTGCTTTGGGACAGGCACTGCAGGTGGGCACATGTACAGCTGTGCCACTTGTGCTGCATTGGCTTTGCTGCCTGCTCTGCAGACTCTCTGGTGCAGGAGAGAGCAGCAGGGGAGAGCTTGTCTGCAACAGACTCCCCACTGTGGTGAAATACACATCAATAGCTACTTCAAACTTGTAATGAAAGTCCAGCAAACTGATGTGTGACACAGAGAGCTGCAGTAAGTGAACATTGCTCTCCTAACCCGTGGCTTGTCTGAGCATCTTTCTGCCAGGCTGCTGAGAGTTGCTGCTCAGTCTGACACATCCCAAACAAACCTGCATGCCAAACTCTTGGGCAGCTTGCCTGGCAGGAGCTTGGACATGCTGGGACTAGTGATGGCCATTGCTACCTCCTGCCACGCTTGTTTCCTAACAGCTGCTTATAGTGCTACAGGTTTTTTAAGATTACCTGTTACTGGAGTTTGCTTTCATAGCAGCACATAGCAGTTGTCTTCTGGCAGAAAGCTTTGTGGCAGTGGCATATTTTGTCAGCACCAAGGGTGCTTTGTACTTGATTCTGCTGTTGGAAAAAAAATTCCAAAGGACATGATGGTAACGGACGTGAATTTAGCTGGCATATTTAAAGGAGCATCTGTGGGAAGAAGAGGAGAAGCCACTGGATGGATGAAACACTATTAATATTCAATCCATGCTGGCCTGAAAACCTAAAAGAGGTGTCTCCTTGCATATGGAAAGTATTTGCTGATCACCTCTGCGTGTACTTGACCTGTTAATCAGGATGCTGAGTATTAAATAGACCGTTCCCTTTCTGTTCCAGAAACTGTTTGTTTGTTGTGCTGCACATCACCTTGCAAGCTGCAGTGTTTGGGGAGTACACCTGGGAAGTGTTTGTTTACTGCTGGGAGCTGCAGTTCCACCTCCTGCTGCTGCTGCTGCCCTACCTGCTGCTGGCTGGGAACGTGGGCTTCTTCCTTCTCTGCTCCCGGGCCAATCCTGGTAAGCTCCTCTGATCATGAGCTGTAGCTGTTTGAAAACAGGACCTAACAAGTGTTACAAACACCACGACTTTTGCTATTTTTCTTGTTTCTTCTGCAGGTATCATAACAAAATCAAACCATGCGTCCCTGGTAAAGATTTATGCCTATGATGGAGTGTTATTTCAGAGAGGCATCGTGTGTCCTACGTGCAACGTGGAGAAGCCAGCCAGATCAAAACATTGCAGTAAGAATCTTGCCTTCCTTGATGAGTATAAAAGTCATACTTTCCCAACTTAAATCTCCATCAATAACTGCAGTTCACGCAACACCTGTTCTGTTCTCTAGTTCAATGCACACAGGTTTGTGTAGGTGTTACTGGACTCCCAGATCACAGCTGCTCTTTGCTCACCCATGGAACTGTTTTGCTGCTGTTTCTTCTCAGAAATTGCCGGTTCCAAAGGTGTTGCCTGGGGTCAGGAACAGGCTAAAATTACACACCTAGAAGTTAAACAAAAAATGTTCACCTGTCAAGACGTGAGTTCAGGATTTTGTGCTTCTCTTGCAGAATTTGCTGTTTACATCTAAAAGAAATCTGGGGGCTACAATCTCTACCTTTCATATACTTTGCTAGGCAGTACTGCTGGAGAAGCCAAAGTTGTTGAGCTGCAGTTTTGGTGAATAAAAGAGGAAATGAGATAAAGGTCTGGGTTTAGTATTGGGGATTTTTATTATGAAATCAGTGTATTTGCTGCAAAAGCTGCTGGCTAGATCATGACCACAAGTCTTAGGTTCATTTTTTTTTTTCAGATGAAAAACTAACCCAAATGAAACTGATAACTTAAGAAAAGCACTAGTGCCTGTCTTGCCCCTCTCCCCGGGCAGGTCTCTGCGGGAGGTGCGTGCACCGCTTCGATCACCACTGCGTCTGGGTCAACAACTGCATCGGTGCCGCCAACGCCGGGTACTTCTGCCTCTACCTCGGCTCCCTCAGCGCCGCCGCCGCCGCCATCGCAGCCGTCACGGCAGGCCCGCCCTCCCACCTTGGGGCGGGCCTTCGC